CAAAGTCAGTGAACCCAGTTATGGATTATATTGCCAAGGGAGGTCCAGAGCCCCCTGCATTGAGAGGCCGTTTTCTTCCATCGCAATGAAGACCGGGAGATTCCGATCGCCATAAGCCTGCTCCTTATTGAAGGAATACAGGTCCTATACTCTTATTCAGCACCGTTTCAATGTGCCACACATACAACTCACGTTTGACAAAGCAATCAAATCCACGGCTGCATCCTCCAGGCTCTTGATAAAGGGATGGTAGAACCAAACACGTATTCGATAATCGCAAAACAAGGTCTGACACCGCCATCATCGCGACGGTGAAGAATATATTCTTCCATCTTGGAGATCGGCCCCTTGGCCCGATAGGCGCATTGACTGGAAGTGCCCAAGAGGTATTCGTCAACGCCTTGAACAAACCGTGCTCTGACACCAGGGCCGCAGTTGGGGAGCATACGTGCCCAAAGGCTGGATAATCGAGTGAGTTCGGTTTTTGATCCTCGAGGTATGAACTCACTCGTAGGTAAGCTTTTCCAATGCCGATCCGGACCTGCCCTGCTCACAATGCGCCTCTGGTTGACGAAGTATATCGACAACGACCTCTCTGACCCGTAAAGCTTCGGTGTGCTGAAGTCCATCGGTATAGTCATCCAGCCAAAATACGTAGTTCATAAAGTCGGCCCCGATTCTCAGTCCATGGATATCGCAGCTGGGCCAACTCATTGCCGCGAGAGTTCCAAGTTTAATGCTCGCCATCGACGCCCTTTGTTTTTCCGAGAGATCTCCGAATGACGCGATCCATTCTATCGAATCCGCAGAACAGACCTCGCAACCTTCGTTGATGGCGAGATCGAAGGAGCAGTAGGAGACGAGATCGGGCAGGATGAGCGTCCTGGGCCGGTTGGCAGTGATCGGGGAAGAAGACATTGAAAGACGGTGCAATGATTCTCTGTTGTCGTTGGCTCAAGCCTTTATAGTGTATATGCCCGCAATACAGTGATTGCTTGGGTACAAAGTCCGCGGCCCCATGCAATCGGGACACTAGCACCGATTGGTGTTGGAGTACGGGCGTTGTTAGACTGGGGGCAGGCGCTGGCATGGGTCGAGGAGTGGATTGGTTAAAAAAAGGTGTCATGGACGGGATCATGGACGGGCGTGTCACAGTCTGCGTTGGCGTAGGGTGATTGTAAGGGACACGTACATGCCCCCATATTTACCACAATAGGTAACACCGCCTCCTCTGGCTATCGGATCGTCCGATGGACTGAGACATAGTGTGCGACTGTAGGTCGCCCTTTTTTCAGGGAATTCTCTTTGTACACGCTATGCATTACTGCTAGACAGTAATATATTTGTTTGGTTTATGGTGAAAGGGCATCCTAAGCCCTTTCAGTGACGCAATGACTTGATTGAACAGTGACCTCAGCGTTCACTGCTCAACATGTACAAGTCCAGCATTTTTTCCAGCACAGTTTACATCAGAAATAGAGCAGTGCATCGTGACCAGCGCTTGCATTCTTGCGCTGGCATTCTTGCGGGCGCTACTTGACAGTCGCAGGATGAAAAAGGTCACGGCCGCATCCCATCCGGACGCGAAAAGCTTGACGGCGAAATGCCGTCGTTCGTCCTGATGAAAGGGGCAGTTTTCCGATGCATAAATAGCCATATGGGATGGTGCGAGGCGATTCTGCGATATATCTGTATGTGGTCGTCGTCGTTGGGCGGCAAAATCAAAAGAAGTACCAGCACAGCCCCTTCGTCTCTCAGTGACGCGTCCCGCCCAGGGCACTTTCGCGTTCAACTCGTCGGCGCATATACTTACCTTGGTCTTTGCATACCATCTCCTGCACATACTGCTATCTGCACAACAATGTCCAGCATGGATGTCGACCACCATCGTGTGGACGTGTACTTGGAGGATGCGCTGAACAAAGCACCGCCGAGCCTTCGTCCGATGTTCCAACGATTCCGAACGCTTTACGACCAAAAGTGGGATGACTCGTTGCTTATTCTTGTACTATCTGTCCTCACACTGTTGTTCAGACGATGGCATCAACTTACTGTAACAGTGAACGAGTTCTTGTCGCACCCAGATTCAGGACCGTTCCAGGTGGACCTATTCAAAAACTTCGTGCAAAACTTTGAAGGGAAGATCAACCAGTTGCGGCTGGCTGAGATGGGCGTGAAAGTATGTCGTCAGATAGACGGTGAGTCGATTTGGGGATGCATCTTACGTATATGCTGACGACCAACGAAAGATCCGCAAAAAACTCTCGGACTTCTTACATCACTCCTTACCCGCATTTACGTGGAGACCTCCCCGGAAGCCCACATCCTCCTCCTCTCCACTCTTGCCCATGTCAAGTTGCTGTTCGGTGATCTCGAGGGGACAAAAGCAGACGTAGACAAGTGTGAACAAGTGTTGGACTCTCTGGACAGTGTGGAGGGTGGTGTGAACGCCGCGTTCTACCGAGTAGCGGCCGATTACTACAAGGTTCGCAACAAGGTGCCCCGTCCCGCTGTTTTCCATTCTAACTCCACATTTCAGGCGAAGGCTGAGTATGGACCGTACTACAAGAACTCCCTCCTTTACCTCGCTTGCATCAACCCCGAGACGGACCTTTCCGCTGAAGACCGCTTAAGTCGCGCCCACGATCTTGCCGTAGCTGCTTTATTAGGTCACACCATCTACAACTTTGGCGAGCTTCTCATGCACCCTATCCTCGATTCTCTGAACGGATCTCCACATGAGTGGATCCGCGATCTCTTGTTCGTATTCAACAGCGGTAATATCGGCAAATTTGAAGTGCTCGCCACCCAATTCAACCGCGAACCCATCTTGGCGATAAACATCCAGTTCTTAAGACAAAAGATCTGTCTGATGGCCCTGATCGAGACAGTGTTCCAGCGCAAGGGGCGGTCAGGAAAGGAAAGACCGATCAGCTTCCAGGTGATTGCAGAAGAGACAAGGCTGCCTCAGGATGAGGTCGAGCATCTGGTAATGAAGGCACTGAGGTATGATTCGTACATACCTCATTGCACTTTGTGAGATCTGATACAAGCGCGTATTTCAGCTTGAAGTTAATTCGTGGCACACTTGATCAAGTATCTGAGCAGGCACACATCTCATGGGTTCAACCACGCGTCCTGGGAAGAGAGCAGATCGAGCAGCTTGCAGTTCGACTGAATGATTGGACGGAGCGTCTTGGGAAAGTCGAAAACTTTGTTGCGAGCCAGGATTTGTTTGCTGGTGTCACAGCATAGTATTATATCGGTGAATACAATCGGCATAGCAACATTGTATGTGCATTCAAGGAGTGTCGTGTGCCTTTTACCGACGGCACAGGGACCGATAATATTTTTTTGATCCTGACTGCAGCCGTCGTCGCCGTACCTCCCTTAACCAGAACGTCCATCATCCGTCATCCACCTCCTCATCTCCCGTCCTCGTCGGCCTGCTCGTGAGTGAGCGGCAGCGGCGAGTATTGCAACCATGTCCAGCGATACTCCAGAGACGATCGTCATTGGCATCCTTGGTGAACCGCACTGATGTTCAATCGAACGAAGCTAACCTCCACTCATCAACTAGCACTCCAAGGGGCTTTCGCAGAGCACCAAACGATCCTCTCGCGGCTCAAGCTCCCCTCACATCCGCTGACGTCTCTGCTCGTGCGCACACCGCAAGACCTCGCTCAATGCAGCGCGCTCATCATCCCCGGCGGAGAGAGCACGACGATCGCCTCTGTTGCCGCGCGTACAGGGATGCTCGACCTGCTCAAGGAGTTCTGCCAGAATGTGGATAAGCCCGTCTGGGGGACCTGTGCAGGGTGCATCCTCTTGGCTAAGGAGGCGACGGGGCTCAAGAAGGGTGGTCAGGAGCTGTTTGGCGGTATGGGGGTCGGTGTGAAGAGGAATGGATATGGGACGCAGGTATGAGGGTTTTGCAGGGTAAATGGGGACAAAGTGACTGATTCAGTGAGAAAGCTAGAGTCATTCGAGGTCATGCTCGATGTTCCTGCGTTGCGAGATCCGGAGCGCCCTTTCGCGGGTGTCTTTATCCGTGCCCCAGTATGAAAGACGGATGTTAAGTGGAGTGTGTTTGTGCTTATTCCGGTACCAGATCATTGAGCACGTCAACGAGTCTGCCCCCACCTCGATCTCCATACACACCGAGATTGTCGCTCGTGTCCCTCCCTCTTGCCTACCTGCCGAACTACACGATGCGGCCGAGACGAGCAACAAAGACTACACCGTGGTAGCCATGCGCCAAGGGAAGAAATTCGTGACGACGTTCCATCCCGAGCTCACTAAGGATGATCGACTACACGAATACTTTATCAAGCGGTGCGTGCTCGGACTTGTGGCTCAGAAGTAAGTCGGGAACTGGAGTGCTGGGTTTATATCCTACTAGAGGTGAGGCAAATGTTGTACATTATTACTAGAACCGATCAGGGCTTTGGCAGGATTCTTTGCAACCTGGGCCGATATCTCTCGGAGCTATGTTCGACACGTCGGCACCGAAGCTACATATGCCGCCGGGCCCCTTGCTGCCCTCTCCCTATCAAATGAAGTTATGAGGTTTTCGTCACTCAGATTACCAGTCACATCGGGCATTCTGCTATCTTCTACGTTGGCCTATTACGTTGTGGTGGAGAGTGCAATTCAGTTCCGCCAAGACACCTCATGAGGGCAACGGACCATGCGGTTGATGTTGAACGATCCCTTATCTGTGCTTCCAGCTTTCGTCTTCTCTTTATCAGTGAAGCTGGGACACTCCCACACTACGCAGCGTGGACTTCTCGGTGACACCCCATCTGATTTGATATGACATCGTGGGACGCCCATGTGCAGCGCACCACGCAAACCATCAAATCGTTAACGGTCGTCTCACCACTTTGAGGCTGTATGGGCGTACTAATCTTTCCGGCAAAGAAGCATTCTTTCTGCCACACACGGAAGGAAGCTTGATAGCACTTGTCATGCTTGATATCTGCTATGACGCGCTGTCCCGTGTCAGCTTGCTGGGTCGATTAAACGAGGTACATAAACTGGCGTCTTCTGTGCCTGTTACTTGCGCGGTGGTCTCTGTCTTTCCCCCTCCCGTCTCCTCTTTCCCGTCCGGCCATGCACCCCCTCAGTTTGCTTTTGCTATCCCTAGAGCCGTTGCTTGTGCTCGCGAGCCCGTCAGGCAATGTGATGTCCCGGTTCATACCTCGACATGCCCCCAAACACTACAGCTGGCCGCTCGCACCACGCTTCACTATCATCAGCATGTTCACCCCAGAGGAGGGCGCATGGCTCGAGCCCCTGGACCTGAAGTACAACTTCTCCGTTCCCGGACTATCTATGTTATACCCTCATGTCCACTGCGATGAGAAAGGCTGGATCTGTCAGATGACGACGGGCGGGAGATCGACATCATCGAAGGTGTGAACACGAACACCGTTAACCAGAAGAGGCTGCACACTCGCCGTACCTCCGTGAGGGGGCTGCTATTTCAGGGTCTGCGAACTCAGGCTCGACTCTATAGCTATCATGTGGCTCTTCCGCTTCACTGTACAATCTCTGCGGGTATTGTTGCCACCATGGTTGCTATCCAAGCTGATGTCAATTCTGTTGGCCGACTACTTCTCGAATACCCAATTCAGATGTTTGGGCACCTCGGTTGTTGTGGGGGGTGACAGTACGCCAGACGCGCCAGCCGAACTCTGGGCAGCCTTGCGAAGATCTGTACCTTGGGAGCTTGAACAAGCGAGAGAGTACTGGAAGCAAGTTTCTGAATTCTTCGAGAATCATCTATACAAGCTCGAGTTGGAATCGCTGGAAGGGGGCGTGGAGCCGGGGGGGGGGTCATATATCGAGTAAGCCTGTCTGCCTGGCGCTGTTACATATGTGCTGATCACTGCCTACAGGGCTTGAAATGCATACGAACTCAGCACATCAAGACATATGATCATATCTACATTCGAATGGTCGCCTGTGACAGTAATGAAGAAACGTACATCGACATGTTGCAGAAAGAGTATCCGACCAGCTGTCCTATCCTGGTCCCGCTCTGCATGTGCACGTATCCACGGGCGGTAGGCGGGGAATCTGGAAGCCGTCGCTTTCTCCTCTTCGAGCAGCTGAAGCCAAACTTTCTCACCACCATCACTATCAGTCCGATGGACTCGAACAGCTACAAAGAGCTTCGTACCAAGACGATCACACTCCTTGAGGTGTGGGATATCTTCGCACAACTAATCGCAGTAAGCAGGCGCGCTTGGTGTTTCACAAAAATGCTTATATTCCCCACCTCCAGTGTTGCTACAAAATTCACAAGGCGGGTCTGCTTCACGGGGTACGCCCTTTTTCTCGTCGCAACACAGTGCAGTAACCCGTACGCTTGGCATTTCTTCGGAAGGACATCCATCACGGGAATATTTTGGTTCAGGAGGATCCCGATATGCAATCAGGCAAACGGTACCTCCTCATCGACCTCGATCGTATGCTAATCCACACCGACCCGCTTGACAATGGACTTCCTCTGTGAGAGCATTTTTGGCCCTTATCAAAAACTAGGTTCTGTCGGCCGCCTCCCAGTCAAGCTGATGCGTGCTGCCCGTCGAGTAGAGTGTCGTCATGAAATACTTTCCGGAAATACCTCGCTTACTTTTAGGAATGAAGCACTGCACCGTGTCACTCTAGGAGACACAAACCCGTGTCATGCAGATCCATGACAGGTATCTCCAAATCGCACATGCAAACGCAAGCGTCGATATTCCTTATCCAGTGCCACAAGGGGACTTTGAGAGGGAGGTGTCATGGGAGTCCTTGTCCTAGTATCTTATGGGTATACACATACGGTCGGAACAATGAAATGTTGCTGGCAACGGTGCCAGCGGGGGAACATGTTCCCACATTGCCTGCCTCTTTCGGCGTGGAATCCCAATCCTGTGGTATTCTGGTGTACGGCAAGTGAGGTGGCATACACGTTTTGGTACGCACGGGTACCATGCCAAATAGGGCAAGAGCCGTTCCTCACACTGCTGGTAGGCACATACGAGAGCCCTACCTGTCACTCTACTTCTGCACCGTCTCTTGCCCCTGTCGCCCGTTGCTGTCACGCCCATCCTCTTTGGCTCAGCCCACTCAATCATGTCCACTGTAGGCAACGTCGCTCGGTCAATGGCTGCCTTGTCGCAGAACGAGCGGGCGGAGGTCCACCGCCGCGTCGCTTTCCGAACGAATCAAGACACACCTGTCGAGCATCCAAGCCAATTGGCTCCGACCCGGGGCGCAACGCCAGTCGTTTTGGGGGGCTGACGGCTTCCAAGCCACAAAGGGACCACTCGGTCTAGCTGCGTACGACTGGACGATCACCGGTAACGGCCTCAGAGCCGTCATCTCGCCCAAGACTAAACATTAGCTGATGCCAACAGTGAAAGACGTTCACGTCTGGCACAGGTCTAACCTGGGCTCAGCTCGCGAATCTCATCGCTGACAAAGCGTTGGATAATGGCTTTATGGTCGAGTTGGTGGTGGGCATTCACGAATGAGTGGACTCTCTGGGGAAAAAAATCAGTATCGAATAACCTGCATCTGTGCACACGTGATGGTCATATCCTCTTCAACAACATGTGCAGTTCCGAGACATTTACACGGGCGCGAAGACTCGTGAATGTGGATGTCCGATCCATACTGGGCTTAAAGGGAGACGACTGAATGTAAGAACATGCCAGTGGTGGAGCTGATGCAAACCAAATCATTTCAAATCCTCTTTCATTGACCTGAGCTGCTGAGTACCGACGAAGACAGGACTGTAACACACGAGATTTAACTACAGTATCTATTTCTGTTGTCCGTCTGCATGCGCATCCAAGAGTTCTCAGTCGAGGTCAAATTCGACGTCGGTCTTGTCATCGAGAGAACGCTCGATCACCCAGTCTTTCGGTTTCTTTACGGATTTGATCTTGTCTCCGCAATTCTGATACTTCGAGTTGCACGGCTTCTGGAGCTTTACGCGCCTTTCGAGACCATGGTCCTCTTCGTCGAACGAGCGACCCTCAAGCGTATCCAGGGTAGGGTTCCCAAGAGACATGGCACTGCCAACGGTGGCAATAGCGATTAAGGCGACAGTCGTGTAAGTGTTGAACAACATCGTGATCGAAAAGGGGTGGTCGCGACGATTTGGAAGTGAGGGAAAGTGATTAGTCTAGAGTGTCCTGACCGGCAGGGGTGTGAGTTGAGGAGAGTGGATCAGGCGATTTGCGAGTGTCCGGCACTACGTGAGGTAGAGAACGTCGTGGATGCGAGTGTTTTATAGTCTGGTGCGGAACTTTGGGAGTGACAGAAACATTTTCACCTGGTAAACAGATATGGAATGAATCCAGTACAGCCGCAACATTGAAATATATTTCCTCCGTGTTGGAGTTGGTATGAAATGTTCGAACGGTCGATCTCCTCGAGGTAGCAGCGTCACACGATTGAATTGTTGCGCAACTAGGTTCCTTTAGCAATGTGATCGTATTAGAAACTGTTGGGTTTCGGACCCGCGACATACACCGGAAATATAAAGGCGAAGATGACACTGTTTGTGTGTTAGAAAGAATGAATTATCTCTGATATTTTAGTATATTCTATCAGTGTTGCGCAGAAGATACTCAGCCTGAGACATGTTATGCGAAGGGACTATCATGATAATTTGATCGTGTGATCACAGCCGCGGTTCTGTGTGACCGGCGAGGCTGTGAATATAATGTGTGATACCAAGGAGTGGGGCTAGCTAGAGAGGGGATACAGAGTGGTCGAAGGGGAAGAGTTCGGCCTCCCGTTACAGGGGTATACGAGCTATCTAATATAGAAAGTCAAGGAATGTGGAGGTGGTGAAATAGAAGGAACAAATGGAAAGTAACTGAAACTAATCAAGTAAGACAGACCCTCGATATCGGTCCGGCGGTATCCGGATACCGCATGCGAGCCGGTAGAACGGATGTTCCGGCAACGAATATATTGAGTATGCCTACGATGGACTAACTACAATACAATCCCAAACATCCTGTGTTCAAACTACCCCCGAAGTCCCCGATGGAAACCGTCCATGGCTTCAGCCAATTCACGCGCAGCATTCATCGGAGATTACCTCCGTAGAGACAGCGCATGAACTTAGGATGAGATTGGCCTTACAAACCCCATACGACAAAGCCACAAGCGGTGGGAAGGACTAAAGGCTTGAGAGCAGCTCCCTGGCCCTCCCTGTGAGGTGCTGTTCCATGTGCTCTGAGACAATGCCAATGAGAAATAG